CATCTTATTTTAAAAATGCTTTTGGTTTTATATTCCATTTTATAACCATTTTCACAATAATTATTTACATTTTAGTTCCTATATTTAATGGGTTTTGTGTGTACCTCTAATACTTTTATACCACAGTTTCCTATTCTTAGTTTATTTTGAATCCCCAGTCAGTTATTTAGAAATCATTTTTGAGTTCATTTTCTTCAAGAATGGTACATATAAGTACCCTTTACATTTACGAGACTGTTTTCCATTGCTTTCATTCATGAATAAAACACATGAATAACTTGTCTGTGTATAAAATTATTGGATTACAATGATCTTTCTTTCTAATTGCTTGTCCATCTAGCTCCTATTGTTTTCCACTCTACTTTAGTCCTGTAAGCCTTGCTAAGTCTCCATAACTTCGATCTTGCTGGCTTATTAAAGACAGCTGAAAAACCACTTGTTGCTGCAATGCTATTTCTCAGAAACATCCTCTGCCTCACCTCCACCTGCCTCCAACCTCTACACCCTATCTCTCTCTCTCTCTCTCTCTCTCTCTCTCTCTCTCTCTCTCCCTCTCTCTCTCACATACACCTCCACCCCTCCTATGTAGCCCTGACTTCTTTGGGCTATCCCTTATACCCTGACCATGGCAAACACCTCACACTGTCTATCTAGTATTTTGTCTGGGACAGTAATGCGTTAGCTAAAATGACTTGACTCCCAAGACTGTAGCTAATTCTATAGGGAGCTCCACGTGCAGAGTGAGAACTCCCCCAGTCCGCCCACATGCCTTTGTCATCAGGGGGGCAAGAGGAAGTTCTGGGGACCTCAAGGCTCAGAGTAAGACCCCCAGCCCCAGCCTTCACACCTCCATCTATAGAGCTCAAGAAGGGCTACAGAGTTCTTTGTGTCCCTGGACAGAAACACACCCCTCTCTCTCCCCAACATTCACAGTCTCAACACCATGTCCTTCCTTGAGCCCCTTATGGCTGATCTCATCAAACCCTTATCCCAGTTTCACATGCCCAGGTTACTCTCCCTCTCCTACACTCTAATCCCCACATGGCTCTACACATCGTGTCCCCCACCTTTCCAATTCTACCTCTCAACTCTTCCCAGTGCCAAAGAGCCTTCGTGCCCTCCAGAGTTCATGGTCAGTCAATCATTAAAATTGCCTGTGGCTTTATCCTCTTCTCTGAAGTTCCTTTCACCATGTTGCTCTCACTGAAACCTCGCTCTCCCTTGTGGACACTACTTCCCCTGCTGCCTGTCTCAAGTGGTGGCTGTTTTCTCTCCCACACCACTAGTACTGAAGGTTGAGTAGATGTCCTCTTTCCTTCTCATCACTGCTTCCAAATCTTTCTCCTGCCTTTCTTCCCAAAATACCTCAGTGTCTACTCTTATAAATCAGAGTACTCTTATAAATCTCTCTCCTTATGCAATAAAGTACTCCTATAAATCACTCTCCTTATTATCTTCAGGCTACAGGTCACTCTCCCTCATTTTTTAAGGACTGTAGCTGCATCATTAGCAATAACTGCTTTGTCTCCATAATCTCAATTTCAAACATCCCAATCTCTAACCACCACCTCCCAAACTTCCAGGTCACTTTCATTAGTACCCCAACTCCAACAATCCCTTGACATGCCAGGACCTACAATCTATTGATTCTTTTACCTTTTAATACCCCTCACCCCCACTGTATTCTTTCTTACCTAGTTTAAATTCCATGGAAAGTCATTATAATAATTCCCTGGCACATACTTTCAACTCCCTTGATTTTCTCTCAGTAATACCCCCCTTGGATAAATCACAACCTTGGTGAAATCCAGTTCTTTTATTCTCCATCTGTACGCTGATGACTGAATACGACTGGAGTAAAATAAACTGTTACAGTGATGGTCTCCTGTCAGATTCATGACCAGTGACCTAAGTGAGTACTTAAGTCTTCTTCAAAATCATATTACATCTCTTTGGCCCATCATCCTCCTACTTTCCTAGAATATTATTTCACATTTCTTTCTTTTCAAGTCTCTAATACCTCTTCTGTCACTCTCAGTGGATGACTAGGCTTCCTATTTTGCAGGGAACGTGGCCAGTGTTCCCCACAAAAAACCGGGTCCCTTTGGTAGAGTTGCAAGGGATAAGAAAATAATAGGGAAAAATGGAAAATGGAAGAAATAAAAGAATACACTGAGACAAAGATATAGTTTTATAAGTTTACAAAGATTATAGGCAAAGCGGGAGCTCAGGGGGCTTAGACCTCTCCGTTGGTCTCAAAAAGCCCCGAATGAGGTCTTACATGGTAACTTATAGGAAATAGTGAACAATTGTCAGGGGTAACAGATTTACATAACAGCAGGTAGTTCCTCTCAGGTTAACAGATTTTCAAAAGGCTTTTACAGAAGGCTTCTACAGATTCTTTAACTAATTCTATTTACGTGAGCAAATGGTTACAAAGTCTTTCAAAGGTTAATTTCTAAATTCTAAGGTAAGTTTATCATTTAAACAGAGGGGTTAAACAGAGATATGTAAGCTCCATGTTTATTAGGTTATTGTGAATGGAGACAGGTAGTCTAGAGTGGTTTAAACAAAAGGTTTGCTTTTAGCCATTCGGGAAGCTGTCGTTTCCGGAGGGCACTCCATTGTCAGCTCTCAGCCTATAGTTTTTAACAGATTCACTTGTGCTTTACAAAGCAAATCCAATTCTTTAGGTCTGAGAAACGCGGGCGCCTCGTGGGATACAGCCGCTGCTGCCTTTCAGAGACACCCTTCCGAGTGTAACAGCATTCGAAATGCGAACCAACACGTTCACATATTCTTTCAGGGCAAAGCTTTGTAAAACTCCTAAGACAAATCCTGTCCCAAAACGCGTTTAATATTAATTCATGGAGCGACACTATTTCATGGAGAAATAGAAGCTGTAAGAAGAGAGCTTTCATAAGTTCCATTATCAGCTGGACATGGTGGCTCATGCCTGTAATCCTGTGCTTTGGGAGGCCTAGGAGGAAGGATTGCTTGAATCCAGGAGTTTCAGACCAGCCTGAGCAACATAGCAAGAACCCATCTCTACAAAAAAATTTTAAAAATTAACCAGATGTAGTGGTGCCTACCTATAATCCTAGCTACTTGGGAAGGTGAGGTGGGGGATTGCTTGAGCCCAGGTGTTGGAGACTGCAGTGAGCTATGATGGCACCACTACAGTCTCCAGCCTGGGTGACAGAGCAAGACCCCAATCTTTGTTTCCCCTACAGTCTGTTTTTCCCACAGCAGCTAAAATGATCCTGTTGAAATGTAAATGAGATTATGTGACTGTGTGCTTATAATTCCCTCAGCTCCCTGTTTTGCTTAAAGTTAAAGCCAAAGCTCTTACAAAGGTTATTTTGTTTTTTAGCTTCATCACCCATGCCATGGTTGAATGTGTCCCCTTCAAAATTCAGGTGTTGTCAATGGGGAAATATTAAGAGGTGACCCTTTAAGCATCACGGGGGTTCCTCCCTCATGAATGGGATTAAGGCTCTTATAAAAGAGGCCTCATGCAGAGTTTGGCTGGCTTGCCCTTCTGCCTTTCACCATGTGAGGACACTGTGTTCCCCTTCCTCCTTAGACACCATCTTGGAGGCAGAGAGCAACCCTCACCAGATAACTGAATCTTGATCCTAGATTTCCCAGCCTCCAGAGCCGTGAGAAAATAAATTTTAGTTCTGTATAAATTACCAATCTCAAGACTAAGACAACCTATTACTCTTCCCCTCATTCATTCTGCTTCAGCCACACTGGCTTCTGTGGAAGTAAGGGCATGCCTCTGCCTCAGGGCTTGTATGCTTGCTATTCTGTCTAAAATGCTCTTTCCCCAGTTAATTGCAACAGTTCTTCATTCTCTTTGTTCTGGTCTTTGTTCAAATGTTAAGTTGGTAGCAAAGTCTTCCCTGATCACACTATTTAAAATTAAAGCCTTCTCCACCATCAATACTCTGTATCCTTTTTTCCTGCTTTATATTTTTCCTTTTTAGAGGATATTTATTATCCTCTAAAATGTATAATTCACTTATTTATTTTGTTTATTGTTCATTTCCAACCTGTATATTGTAAACTCCAAGAGGGCTGAGAGTTTTGTTTTTTTCATTGCTGTATCCCCAGCATTTATAACAGTATTAAGCTTAATAAATATTTGTTGAATAAATGTGTGAGAGAATTGTGTGGCCATGTGACTATTTCAGTTAGCAAGATGTAGGGAAAGACTCTGGAAAGAGCATCACTTACAAAAAAAAAAAAAAAAACCAATAACAACAACAAAAAAAACCCCTCTTAGGCTTTAACTATAGTCACCATGTTGTACAATTGTACAATCCAGAGCTTATTCCTCCTGTCTAACAGAAATTTTGTATCCTCAGAGCAACATCTGCCCAAAACCCCTCTCCCCAGCCCCTGGTAACCACCATTCTTCTCTCTGTTTCCATGAGTTTTGACTTTTTCGTATTCCACTTATAAGTGAGATCATGTGATATTTGCCTTACTGTGCCTGGCTTAGTGCACTTAAAATAGTGTCCTTTTTAAAGGCTCACTAGTGTTCTGTTGTGCATATAGACCACATTTTCTTTATCCATTCAGCCAGTGATGGACACTTAGGTTGATTCCATATCTTGGCTATTGGGAATAATGTTGTAGTAAACACGAGAGTGCAGATATCCCTTCAACATGCACACTATGGGAAAATTTGGAAAACAGAAGAGCACAAAGTAATAAAGCAAAATATCACTAATAATCTCACCTTCCACATATTACTATTTTTAACATTTTGTTTTTTCTTTTCAATCTTTTATACATGTACATATGTAATATATGTACTATATATAGCACATTATATATACATATTTGCATACGTATAATACACAAATACACAATGCTGTATATATAACTCTATTGAAGCATGTATTTCACATTTTTATTATCTCTTACAGAAAATTGTGCGATTCCGTTGCTACATGTATAAACATACACTTATATGTTTTCCTTTGCAGATAATCAATTAATTAATTGTAGAAACCATATATTGGAGTTTGAAGATAATCTACGACATCTAAAAAACAAAACTGAAAAAAATAACCAAGAGCTGATGAAAGCCCTGAAGCAAATGAAGTATGAAATTACACAGGGAGAAAATTTGTCAGTAAACTTAGGTTTGTGTCGCTTTTGTTTTTGTGTATAGTGGTTTGTTTGTTCTACGTTTTGATTTTGGACATTTAGGTTCAATGCCTTCTGATTTGGGGGAATTTCCTCCCTAGAAACATAGCTAAATCAGTACTGGTTCTTTTACTGTGAGACGTGTAAAAATCAGGTAAGAAACATCCCTGATAGACTTCCCCTCATCTTCCTGTAGTCTTTCTGTGTTTTCTGTGTATGTGACTTGCAGCACCATCCATGATCCATCCAGCAGACACAGCCTGAAACCTGAGCATCACACCTGACACCTCTCTCTCTCTCTCTCTTACACACACATACTTCCATGGCAGTGGATATGCAGCCTTGTTGATTCATCATCCTATATATCTCACAAATCTGCCCACATTTTCCATCACAGTCTCTGCTACACTAGTCAGGTAACCTTCATGCCTCATCTGAATGGCCGGTAACATACTTCTAATTTTTCTCTCTTCTCTCCAATCTCATCCGCACTGATTTATTGCTGTAGCCAAAGTAAAGGCTATACTGTTTTGTATATAAACCTTCAGTGGCTCACCATTTCTCCAGGCGAAAAAGTCCTGCCTTGTGCTTCCCTTTGTACTCAAATCTCTCCGCTACTCTTAACCCCTGGCAACCACTGAGCAGTTCTCTGTTCCTACAGTTTTGCCTTTTCCAGAATGCCATGCAAATGGAATCAGGCAGTGTGCAACTCTCTGAAACTGGCTTCTATCATTTAGCATAGGTTCATCCAAGTTGTTGTATGACCAGTTGTTTGTTTCCTTTTTATTGCTGAGTAGTATTCCACTGTATGGATGTACAATGGATGCAGTTTTTTTTTTTATCCTCTGACCAATTGAGGGACATTTGGGTTGTTTTCAGGATTTGGCAATTATAAATAAATGTTGCTATACGCATCCATGCACATGTTTTTTGTATGAAGAGCATTTTCATTATTTTAGAATTAATATATAGAAGTAGAATAGATAGAGCACATGGTAGGTGTATATTTAATTTTATAAGAAACTGCCAAACTGCTTTCCCGAGTAGCTGTGCCGTTTTCTATTCCCTGCAGCAATGTAGAGAGTTCTGGTCACTCTAGTTTATTATAGCCATTCTGATGTCATGATATCTCATAGTTTTAAGTTGTATTTCCTTAGTGACTAATGATGTTGAACATTTTATGTGCTTATTTGCCATCCAGATACCTTCTTTGGTGAAAGGTCTGTTCAAATCTTTTGCCTGTTTTTTAATCAAGTGGTTTGTCTTCTTGTTGAGTTTTGATAGTTCTATATATTATCCTGGGTATATATCAGATGGATACGTGATTTGGAAATATTTTGCTTCAGTCTGTGTCTTGTCTTTTCATTCTCTTAATGAGATTCTTTAGGAGACAAACATTCTTAATTTTTGTTGATGTCCAATTTATCAATTTTTCTTTTATGTATTGTTTGACGTATTGTCATATTGTATCTAAGACCTCTTTACCTAACTCAGAGTCATGAAGGTTTTCATTTATGTTTTTTAAAAATTTCATAGTTTTATGTTTTACGTTTATGTCTCTGAAACTTTTCAGTTAATTTTTTATAAACAACGTGAAGTACAGGTCAAGTTTCAGTTTTTTTCACATGGAGGTCCACGTGTTCCAGCACCATTTATCAACTGTCTTTTCTGCATTTAATTGCCTTTGCACCTTTCAAATCAATCAGCTGTATTTGTGTGAATTTATTTCTGCATTCTATTGTCTGTTCCATTGGTCTATGTATCTATATTTTATATAATACCACACTGCCTTGAGTACTATGTCATGTATTATGAATTAAAACTGGGTAGTGTGAGTCCTCCAACTTTGTTTGTCTTCTTCAAAATTGTAAAGACAAATTCTAATGAATGGCATAAATATGGTCATTAAATGTTAAGGGACTATAAAACAAAGTTATTAATATACAAAATTTAATGAAGCAATATTAATCAAAGCAGCAGAAGAAACCAATTATAGCATAATTCAGTTATACTGCCTTCATTTGGAACTGGCAGTTCTGTTGTCCTCTGGTCGTGCAGCTCATAGTGCTAGGCTTAAATTAAATATTACTTTTAAAACAAATATGAATCAATAATATTTGAGTTTATATGTTGAATACTAAGTTTATCTGTGAATTAATTTATTAATCTCCATTTAAGAAAAATTATTCCAGAAGGAGAAAATTCCTATAGTCATAAACTGAGAAGCACTATTTTTTCCTCTCTTTCAGTTGAGAAGAAAGTGAGTACATTCAGTAAAAATGAAGCAGCACCTAACACATTTGAGGACTTAAAGTTCTTTTTTCCTCATCTAAGGAAAGAAGGCAGAATTTATCCTGATGTAGTCATAGGCAAAGGGAAAACAGGTGGTAAGAAAACTTAGAATTGGAAAATTAAATATAGATATTTTGATCTTTGGGGACATACTTTTAAGTTTTAAGACAAAATCCATTAATAGCATGCTCAGATTGGTCTGTAGATTACCAGCCTATCTGGCATTAATGTGGGTTACCAGAAGTCAGTATTTTATTGTCTGGAAGAAAATGATAGTTCCACAAATTTTGGTGACTTGAATTCAAATTTAATTTTAATACAAATGCTTTAAAAATAAGTCAATATAAGTCAAATATACATTAAGCATCTGCTAAGTGCTTGGCACTCTCTTTGGTTTTGATAAATCTATTCTTTCCTGGTTATCTTCCTATTTCCCCATTTTTCTGGGGACCAAGTTCAGCAAATCTTTATAGAAAATGTGATGTTTAAGCTAAACCTCTAGGAATGAGTTCCAGTTAACCAAGTATACAAGATAAGAAAAAGCTCTGGAGTTTGAAGCAGGGATATTAGGCCAAGTCTCACGATACGTGCCATTCCTATAAGCCTCATACACTCCAGTGAGTCACTGTAGGCCAGGCCCATGGCCTGTTTTTACATACAATTTTATTGTATGCTTATTCATGTATCAATACTTTATGTCTGCTTTTGTGCTACGATGGCAGAGTTGAGTAGTTGCCATAGAGATGGTGTCACCCAAGAGCCAAAAATATTTACTATTTGACCCTTTACGAGAAAGTTTGCTGTCTCCTGCTCTAGGCAGTTCCTTGGGACTATGGAGTGATTGTTGTGTATCACATGTCTCTGACATAATATCCAAGGCTATTGTGTTAGGTGGGATGTCAGACGACATTGTGTAACATCTATTGAATTTTTACTGTGTTCCACTTAGTTCTATATTTTCTTTCATTATCTCATTTAATCACCATAACCCAATGCAGTAGAGCCTATTTTTGTCATCTCTATTTTATAGCTGAGAAGATAGAGAGATTAAGGAACTTTTTGAATTCGCATTTGTAAAACACTTTAACTGCCTGAGATTTCCTCTTAGGAATGTTGCATATTTAAATATGTACACATACATGTATACACATGTGTGTGAATGTGAGTATGAGAGAGTGCATGCTAGACAAAAGCTATAAGTTTGTAAAAGGAGGAGAAGTTGAAAGACACAGAAAAAGATACATAGAAACTATAAGAAATTAGATTCCAAGAATAAACAGCCTTGGATAAGCATCAGCAACTATACGCAGAAGCCCAATCTGTAGAGTGAAAGGAAGGAGGGAGAGAGATGGTGGTGGTTGGGAGGAGCAATAGAACTCCTTATGTGGGGGAGTGATCACCCAGTGATCAGAGCTGTGTTAAATCCTAAGTAATTTTCTAATTCCCCAAATATTTCCTGATCTCCAGCCATATGCATATATTTGCATATATTTATAAATATGCATATATTTGTGCTTTTGAGGCTCCTTTGGTGGCTTTTCTTAATTACCAGAGGCAACTGGAGGGAGATTTTGTTCCTGGCAACTAAAAGATCCTAACACATAAAACACATGCAAAAGTACTGAAGCCCTTGGCATGGCCTCCTGAGGAATCCGTCATTAGTCCTATTTATTCTATATTCTGAATATATCTCAGATGATTTCTGCTCTCTGTAGGCCCCTGTAACTATTTTTGATTGAGCCCCTCATCATTTCTTGACTGGTCTATTGAAATAGACTTGTAATTTTCCTCATGGATTTAGTATGGCTAAAGCGAATCTATTCTTCATACTTTCCTCAGAGAAAAAATTCATAACAGATATGATTAACTCTTGCTTAAAAACCCTTCCATAGATCCTCAGTGCACACAGGATGAAGTTAGCTCCTTGACAGGGTATATGCACAATAGGTTATATCTTTTAAATCTTAATTTCTGCCACTCCTTTCCAGCAAACCCAAACCACTTGCGGTTTTCACAAATAGGCCAAATCTCCGTGTATTTTTCGTGTGTTGATCACTGCCTATGATGAACGCCATCACCTCCTGTCAACCCACAACGGATTGTCATGTGACTCCCTTATGCTATATGACTTTTCAGCTTAAATGACAATTTCTTTGTAAAGTCTTTCATGTCCGCCCATTTAACAAGCTTCTCCTCTGTTCTGGGCACTTGTTAGGCCCTGAGGACATAATGGTGAACAAGACATGGACCCCACCCTCGTGGAGACAAATGATACAGTAATTATAATGTAAAGTGACCTGAAGAAAATACGAGGGAGGGGCCAGAAACCTATACTAGGGGAATTAGGGAACACTCTCTGGAGGAAGTGACATGAAGGGAAAAAGAATTGGAATAGGCTAAGTAGGGAAGAGGTAGGTGGTGGACAGTGGAAAAGTAGAGGATGCTCATCCAGGTAGAGGAAAAGAAATGTGTGAAGGTCCAACAGCAAGAAGGCCTAGAAAGAACGTGTGGCTTGCATGCACAAGGGGGGCTGGAAGTTATCAGTAGCAAGACCAGGGACAGAGGCCCAATGATGAAGGGGCCATTCATTTACTCACCCCAAACTTACTGGCATTACTATGTATTGGTCTTTATATTAGTGCTGGATTTATTCTATAATGTGAGAAACAGACAAGCAGCCTGATCTCACCAAACTGACATTCTATTAATAGCCAGGAATGAGTAACAACAAAAGGGGTGGTGAGTGCTGTGAGAGACGAGGTAAGAATACACAGCTGACCCACTCAGCTTCATTAGAAAGGGGTAAGTATAAATTTCTGGTCAAAATGACTATTTAGTTGAACTCTGGAGAATGAGTAGAATTGGCAAAGGGAACCAGAGGAAGAGGAGTGTTGTAGGCAAAAAGGAATGGCATGTGCAAAGGCCTGGAGGTGAGAGATGGTATGTGGTCAATTGGAGAAGAGGAGGTAGTTGAAACAGAAGAGATAGGATGGAAGCAGTCACTAAGGGCCTTGTAAACTCTTATAAATGCATTCTTTATCCTAAGGCATGGGAAACCATTCTAGGAATTGCATTTATAGTGGATCCCTCAGCTTGAAACTTGATTCCTCCCTCATACCATCCGTAATGATGAATTCCAGATGCCTTTCATTAAATATGAAAGGCAAACAATAAGCCATCTACAAAATAACTCAGGACAATATGTTTACGAACTGAAGAGAAGCAAAGATTTCTCAACAGGACTCAAAAAGCATGAACTATAAAGGAAATGATTGATAAATTGTACTACATTAAAATTAAGAATTTCTGTTCATCAAGAGACAAAACACTGAAAAGGGAACCCAGAGAGGGAGATGATATTTGTAATATGTATAAATGACAATGGGCTAATGTTCAGAATATATAAAGAGCATCAATAAATCAATAAGAAAAATGCAGGCAATTCAATTGAGAAATGGGCATGAGCTTAAACAGATTTCACAAAAGAGAATGATATCTAAAGTCCAGTAAACATATGAAAACATGTTCAAACTCAATAGTAATCAAGGAAATACTGGTTTCTACTGTTATCAAAGTTCAATAGTTTTTCTTAAATAAATACTTCTCAGTTTGTTGTAAACCAGGATTCTGAAATGATCGTTTTGACAATTTTTTTTCAGTTTTATTACTACTTTTTAGGAAGAGGATTTTCTGAGTTCCTCATTTAGCCGTTTTGAAAGTCCTTATCCCCATCTTCAAGGTGGGGAAATCGAGCCTGGAGAGGCTGTGCATCTTGCCTAAGCTCATAGAGCCAGGCACTGGTACAGGCAAGATTGAGTTTGGACAGACTTCCTTAATAAAATCTTAGTATCTATCTAGAATAATAGGGACCTGTTCTCCCCAGTGTTCCAGTCATTGTTGGGCAATAAAAGTCACTTAGGGGCATGGATTCATTCCATCAAATCATTTAGAATTACTTCATATATTTTTTTCATAGATGAAAATATTTCATAGTATTTTTCTTGCTTTGGGCTCCAGTGTGTTTTTAGGAAGAAGAGTAGAGAATTGGCCAATGTGTGACATTTTGTACCCAGTTAGATGAAAGCTATAATAAGTGGTTAGTTTTATTTTCACTACACCAAAATCTATTTATTTATTTTTAATTGCTTTTATTTTTAATTATTATTTGGAGGCTATTTAATGCATTTACTAACAATCCACTGCAAATTGGAATTTCTTCAAACAGAAAATGATATAGGTGATAAAAATTAACATAGTTTGAAATTATTTTTGTAGTGCAGTTTCAAACACTCTTTTTATGACCATAAGACTAATCCAAACATAGAAATAAGCATCGAATTAGTGCTAAGTTATCTTTTTCTCTGTTGTTTGAAACGATGATGTCATACTCCCCTGTCTGCAGTGTCTTTCGCGCTGGGTATTCCCACCATCAACAGAGGAAAGTATACTTACCTGAAGCAAACACTGACCTCTGTTATCTCCAGGATGACACCTTCAGAAGAAAAGGACTCTGTGGTGATTGTCTCTATTGCAGATGTATGTATGAAAAATAAGGAGCTCCCCTTACTCTGACCCTATGGTCTTCAAATTCCCTTCCTCAATGGTAGTCACTGAACCATTTTGAAAAGTTTTTCTTAAAAAAGCAATCCATAGATACCTTTTTTGGATAGCAGACAATGTATTGAATATTTGTTTGATACCACTGAGAAGGAATTAACTCTGTAAATCTAAAAACATAATGGTTTAATGTGGGGCATTTAATATTGTTTAATTTGAATTGCATTTAATATACAATCTCGGCTTACTTTACAGTACAGAAATTACACACACAAAAAACATCATATTTGATGCATGGTAATAAAATTTGCCAAGCCCAATAAAAGGTTAGCAAGAGATAATCAATAGATAATTTATATGAAGTAACAATAACTATCATTAATTGAGGGACTGCTTCTTATTCCCAAGGGATTGAGGATGATTTTTTTTTATAGACATTATTTATTACCTGAATTATATCCCTGTAAAGTAGGTGTTACTCTCCTGATTTACAGATAAAGAAACTAGAGCTTAAAGAAAGTAGCTTGCCCAGTAATTCATAGAACAGATTCAAATCTAGGTCTTTCTAATGGCTCCGAAGATGCCTGTTTTGCTCATAACACCACTTAAAACTACAAAATACTGTGTGAATATTAACACCGTAAGACCTTTGGGAGAGAAATTTGGCAACATATGTCAAATTTAGGCAACAGAGTGAGACTCTGTCTCAAAAAAAAAAAAAATTTAAAATGTGTATATCCTTTGTCTCAGAAATCCAAATTCTGGGAACTTATCGTAAGGAGATAATCAGACAAGTGTTTAAAAACAATAAAAAGATGACAGCATAATTTGGTAGTTGAGAATACAGACTTTGGATCCTGGTTACCAAGGTTCAAATGCCAGCTTCTCCACTTGGGACTTGTGAACTTGAACAACTTACTTAACTTCTCTATGCCTCACTTTCCTTATCTGTAAAATCGTGATGGTAATATTGCCTATGTCTAAGGGTTGTTTGCAGATGAAGTTAGCTAATATATTGAAAGTACTTAGAATGATGCATGGCACAGAGTAAGAACTGAATAAATAATTATTTCAAGGATTTTCAGTGCACTGTTGCTTTATGAAAGTATAATATTGGAAACAAAATATCTATCAACAAGAGTCTGATTAAATACTTTGCTATGTATCTCTACAAGGCAATACTCTGTAGGCATTGAAAGAGGAATAAATATCTATACTCACTGATACAAAGTAATGTTCATATCATGTTGAGTGAAAAAAAGTTGTAAAGCATTATGTTTAACATGTTATCTATGTAAAATAAGATGGAAGGAAGAGAAGGAGGGGGAAAAAGATATACAGACAGATGAAATGTATAAAGATAAAAAGAGAATGAGCAAACTTGGAATCATGGTCTCTGAAATGTAAATAATGGCTATCTATGAATGCTGGGAATTAGAGGAATATTTGTTATCCTTTCTTTATTCTTTTTCTTATTGCTTGAATTTTCTATAATAAAGATGTGTTTGAATGCAGAAAAAAACTCTAAACGAAACAAGCAATAGAACTATTAGGAAAAATAGAAATTAAAGATTAAATGTTCTATTCCAGTTTAATTTCTTAATATTAAAAGAAAGCATGGACATAATCTCCAAAATGTTTTGTTATATTTTCTTATTTTCCATATTATAATCTTTATTTCTCTGCCATTGGAACAATGCATATCTGCCCAAAATGTTTAGACTAATAATAATAATACTGGGGGAAAAATATAAAAATGGAATATAGAATGCTTAAGAAGTATAATTTTAGTACTATGTTTCATATGTAGTATGTTTCAGTGTGTGACAAACAGCTAGAGATTCAAGTTTTGATTAAGAACCTCAAGTACTATGATAGATTTATCTACATCATGTCAGATATTTTTAAACAAACAGCCTGAGTATATACATTCAGAGTTGCCTTTAAGAGTACTTAGATTTGAGAACAGAACTGTCTTTGTTGTACTGTTTCAGAATTTTATATTGGAAATGCTTATGGGCCTTGAGGATGCATCTTATAAATGCCGTCAGTTATTTAAAAAAAAAAATCATCCCAAGAGGGTGAACCATCAAGAGCTTTTTACAAATGAGTCTGTCATTTAATCTAGTACACTGTTCAATGAAGAGCAGGTCCACAAAGTTTATTGACAGAAAAAAATTGGAAATCAAGCTGAGTAATACTGTCTGGAAAAATATGGTGTCATTTTGAAGTAAGCTTATTGTTGTATAATACTCATAAAATGAAGAGTAGTTTTCAAAAAGAGTAGTTCTTTGAAATAAGCCATCCCTGCATGACCATTTTCAGAGCAAAACATTTTTGGATACATAAGATTTTGTATGCTAATTTTTAAGTGTAAATAATGGATAGTAATATTTTATACTGTGGAAAGGGAAAATGAATGAATATTTTCTGTATTTAAGTCACATTTTTTCAACACATAGGTATTTTAAATTCTTCTTATAGAAAGTGAAAACACCAGAAATTATCAGTGCATAATGATACTCCACACATAAATTAGATTTATATGCGGCAAAAATGTATTAATAAAACTATGAGGCATGCTTAGTTTTAGTAAAATACTTTTTCTCCTTTTTAGAGTAATGAAGATTATTTACAATCTGTTGTTAGCATGATTACAAAGAAGTAAGTACTGTCTGATGAATTTTAAAATTAGCCATTCTTTCATTTTTCTATCCTATTTTTTCTGCTCAATTGTATTATTATTTTATTAATAATCATGTTCTTTTTAATGAGTGTAGCTTTGCAGAAAGAACCTGTAGTTCTTTCTAAGCTGTGATTAACTACAGCTTATGATTTTCCCCAACTTTGCAGGTTATCTATTAGAATTCATATTTTTCATGCTATAATTGTTAAAATATCTGTTCTCCATGAACTCTTTAGCCTCTGAGAGAAGCCTACTAAATTGTTTTTAAAACATTCTTGTATTCTTTACGAAGTTACTTCACCACTTCTGCTTACAATTTCCTTCAGCTGCAAGCAGCCAAAGCACATACTGATGAACTAATATGAAGGTATTTCATCAAGCAAGATGCCATGGGATGGACCCCACCTTTCAAATCCTCATGTTCAAGTGGGCCATACAACTTGTAAAAAACCAAATCACAGCAAGGAGGCTAGCATTATCACGGTGGTATGGGTAGGGCAATATTCCCCCTATAGAGGGGGAAGTATTTAACTCTACCTGCAGCTATCAAAAAGAAGGTAATAATTGAGCAGAGTCTAAACGTATAGATAGACGTTCTTCACAGACAGGAGGAGAAAGGTCATGCCTGGCTGGTAGAATTGCTTGGGAAGACAGAGAGGCCAAGAGGAAGCATGCCAGAGTTGAAAATGTAAATTTTGAAACATGGATGTTTGGGGAGAGGGAGGAAGGATTGGCAGGAGATAGGTAGGCCATGATGAGATCACGAAGGGCTCTATGTGCCATGCTAAGAACTATGCACTTTATGCTACAGACTGGGGTTGCAATTATGGCCTTCAAGCTGAATCTGGCTAACAGATATGTTTGGTTTAGCCAGCAAAGTGTTTTGCTTTGTTTTGTTTTTTCTTACCAAAGACCTCTAGTGGATGAGGCAAAGTTACTCTAGTCAAAAGAATTCCAGCTAATAACCGTAAAATGAATAGAATTAGGAAATCACCACTTGAGGCATGTCATCAAGTGACAGGTCGATGGGAACGTCACAGGGAAGGGGTACCAGTCAGTGTCCAAACAGGAAAACTCCTGGTACTTCAAATAGACGGAAAAGAGGGAATTTCACACAAAGAATTGGTCAAAACAAGTTTAAAAGGGCCGAGAGGACAAAGGGAGAAGAAAGGGGACAGGAGAAGCATAAAAGGAGAGGGGGTCAAACCCAGCAATGAGATGTTGGGCTGCTCCTGCCGCTGCACTGTGGAACTGATCCGGCAGGTGCTGGATGGCTGTCTCTGCCCGAGCTGGCTTAACTCAGTCAGTCCTGCCAGGGCCCACATCACTGCTGCTCCAGCCTGCTGCTGCTGGAGACCTCACCAGGGATTAAAAGGAGGAAAAACGTCTTCCACTGCCTTCTAGTCTCTTGTCAGTTACTGCTTCCCACCAGTAGAAGACAACTGGTAGCTGGATAGGGAGGGAACTCGCTAACATGCACCAGGCAGGACAGAAGTGTGATAAGGTGGGCTAAGAGCAAACAGGCGCAAATAAGCAATCAGCAGGAAGGGATCAAGTTAGTCCACCTGCATCTCTAAGCAATCTCAGTACGACTGAAAGTTAGACAGTGACAATGATGCAAATGAAATACGCAAATAACTCAATAACCACATACTATAATTTTTTGAGTGATCTTCAAAAGGCTTGCAACTATGCAGTCATAGAACCAGGAATCATTTGTAAATCTGCCTTCTTTTTAACTGATTTGTTAAGAGTCCATTATAAGGATACCAATTATATCATCATGGTAGAAATTACTTGTAATTTAACCTTTGAATGAAATTGTCTAGAGGACAAAACTTACTTACTAACCTCTGTGATCCAGACTTTTTGATGATTGTGTATACTGACACTAGATGTTATTTTCATTTGCCTCTGCTACTCTAAATTGCTTCACCAAGTCTTGTGATTTAAAGTTATACAAATTCACTTAAAAATTTAGACATTGTTTCTAATTTTTATCACAAAGCAAGCAACCATACCAGTATTTTCTACTTCCCAAGGAACATATCAGAATTAGTTTTAAAAAACTTTCCATTTGATATACCATAAAATCTGAGGGCAGCCAGTAAGACTTCCATCCCCTCCCTTCTCCTTATACTCCCCCCCCCCCGCCCGCAAAATAAAGAACCAGGAACTCTTCCACTAATGCATAGTGGCTGGGAAGAATTCCAGCATGTATTTTCAAAGTTCTTTCTCCAGAAGGTATGTATTGCTATCCCAGTTTTACAGATGAGGAAACTGAAGGTCATAGAAAGCAAACTACTTGGTCAAAGTCAGTAAGTGAAAGAAACAAAATTGGCACAGAGAGTTTTCGGGGTCTAAAACCCACATTCTCTCTAGCATAGTATGTTAATACTATTCCCACCCTATGCTCATGTTACATACCCATTATAGAACATGTACTTTCTTCCGTGTGTGTATTTGTATGTGTTTATACCTACTCACACAATCCTTGATTTGCAAGATAGTGTGGGGCCATGAAACTGATTGTGCAAGCTGAAACTATGTGAGGTGGTACTAATAATCACTGGGCAAAATCATAATTGTTCCATGACTTTTAAACATTTGTCAAAGTATTACTCTCTTACTGTCAACTATAAACGTGTAGAAAAATGAAAAATACCATAAAGATCACAATATTACACTGTCATTTAAAATATTAAAATTATTGAGTATTAAAATATTTTATTTCTTTTAGAAAATTTGTCAAGAGTAGTTTGCCTCCTTCTTGTCATATAACTTAAAATACAGAGCAAACATCTTTTCATACTTTGGCAAATTGTTATACTCATTTCTAAGTTTGGATCAGGTTCCAACATTGTATATTATCATTTGCATTTTCAATGTCATGAAATATCTCTGACAGTTCCTTTAACGTGAAGTTGTTTTAGCAGTGTCACTTCCAATGTAACATACTTTTCAACACAACCATTTTCTTCATTTATGTCATTTAAGTTCACCTTCACTAAGTTCCCTTTGTTGCGTATCTAAAACCTCTCAAACAACAAGTGTCAACATTCTCGTGATCAGCTGTTTTATAATCACATCCAAATTCACTTCCAGTGTTCACTTTCTGTGCTTTCATCTGTCAGCCAATTCCCTCTTTTGATTCCCCATTTTTGTTAAATGTCATGTGAGTTTGTTTATTACTGGGAGACGAGGCAACACAGCTACATGTTTTGTGGTCTGCAAGTGAACCGAGTAACAGATGCATGGTGACCATTCACCAGCAAACTTTGAGAGAAGTGATGTGATTGGTTACTGATGATGATGTGTATCTGTTATTATGTAGAGATTTGTACACTGAAGAGCTAGCAATAAAGTTTGTACTTTACACAATTATTCAGAGTTAATATACCATGGTCACTAAAATTTTGACAGTGTTATTGGGGCATACTGCTATTATTTAACTAAAACATGGTAACTGAAATTTATGCATTTGGAATTGTGCAAAGTGAGGCCTGCTTATTTTGCACATAATTGAGATCATGCATATAAAACTTTGTCCTGCTTTTTAAATATTTAAGTAGTATAAAACAAACATTTCCTTGAGCCTTTAACGTTTTAATAAATAATATAATGCCTAAATTTAAATTCTATTCAAAATCGTATTATCGATCTCTAAAGGAAAACCATTTAAAATGTTCTCCCTGGTCTCCCATTTTTTACTTTGATGGTACAAGATTTTTATTACAGTTTTTGTGAACAGGATTTTATGCATTTTAGTGATATTCTTGTTGGTCTATCAATACCGACTTTTAAAAATAAAGATGTTAAAAAGTATACATAGTCCTCCAGGGAGTTGTGGACAAGAGTCAGACTTAATCCTGGCGTGCTGTGGTAGTCTCATTTCAGCAGCCACATTGCTATTCAGCAGGACTCTTTAAATTGAAAATTATGCATTTAAAAAATGATCTAATGTTCTTGCTTTCTTGTAGTTACTTTATTGTCATAACCCATTGGTTCCATTATCTTGAATGTCAGAGTACACGTCTGATTGTAAACTTAAAAAACAATTCAAAGTATCTACAATTTTTATAAGAGGAAATAAATTTGTATTGTATATTTTAATTTTTTCATATGTCATTAAATTATGAAAGAAATACTTTGACTAAAATATATTAGTTTTATCATGTTAATATTATATCATGTATCAGCGTGAAATAATTCAAATTAAATATGTGGACATGCATAAGAAAATTATTTTTAAGTATTTGTTATTTTGGTAAATTAAATATTCAATTATAAGCCTCCATTTACTTCTATTTATAGGTTCAAAAGGCAAGTGAAGTCTGGCTCCTTAGAGGTCATTTCAGTACCTGCCTTTTTTTATCCAAACATGTTAAATGCCAAACAATCAACTGAGGACTCACAAAAAAGACAGAGGTATGACATATTAGGAAATAGTATTCTTAAAAAACAACTTTACTTAATAAAATTTTGGAATCAGCGTCTAATATATACTATTTCAAACACAGTGGTGTGTCCAGCCATCTCCTACTGGCTTGAAAGAAGTGAGTAAGTCCATCACTTCCCAACTCTGTGTTCAGTGACATTTAGTTGCTAAGCATGAGCCATAGCAGGAGTATTTACACCATGGTAATAGGCAAAAGCTACAAATCAGGGATCTCCATCCCTCCACCCCCAAGTCAGTTGTTAAACATCTACCAGCACACCACTGATTATCCATGTTCACGTTTATAGACAATAATTAGCAAAGGCATAATAAGATGGGGGGAGGTGGAGCCTGGGATTATAAATCATTGCACCAGGATTCTAGTCCCAGCTGTTCTGTATGCTGCTCATCCTAAACAGGTAATTTAGCTCTTTTTCCCCTTAGTTTCCCCAACTTTCTAGTTTGTATAATGAAATCTACATTACATATTTGGAAGACTTATTATGAGAGTAAAATATATTTATGAAAGAATCTTGAAAAAAGCTCCATACACATATAAAGGATTATAATTTTTTAGTAATAAATGTGATGTTAAGGGAAATATAATACTTTGGTCCCCCAAAACTTTTTTTTTATTTCAGCGTATTACAGGGGTACAAATGTTTAGGTAACATATATTGCCATTGCCCCACCCAAGTCAGATCTTCAAGCATGTCCAACCCCAGACGGTGCATACCGCACCCATTAGGTATGAAGATACCCATCCTCTCCTCCCTCCTCCCGCCTGCCCAACACCCGATGAACATTACTACCATATGTGCACATAAATGTTGATCAGTAAATACCAACTTGATGGTGAGTACACGTAGTGCTCGTTTTTCTATTCTTGTGATACTTCACTTAGTAGAATGGGCTCCAGCTCTGTCCAGGATAATACAAGAGGTGCTAGATCACTGTTGTTTTTTGTGGCTGAGTAGAACTCCGTGGTATACATATACCACATTTTATCAATCCACTCATGTATTGATGGGCACTTGGGTTGTTTCCACATCTTTGCAATTGTGAATTGTGCTGCCATAAACATTCTAGTACAGATGTCTTTTTTATAGAATGTCTTTTTTTCCTTTGGGTAGATGCCCAGTAATGGGATTGCTGGACCAAATGGTAGATCTACTAGTAGCTCTTTGAGGTATCTCCATATTACTTTGCACAGAGGTTGCACTAGTTTGCAGTCCCACCAGCAATGTATGAGTGTTCCTATCTCTCTGCATCCACACCAACATTTATCGTTTTGGAACTTTTTGATAAAAGCCAGTCTCACTGGAATTAAGTGATATCTCATTGTGGTTTGGATTTGCACTTCCCTGATGACTAGAGATGTTGAGCATTTTTTCATATGTTTGTTGGCCATTAGTTTGTCTTCTTTTGAAAAGTTTCTGTTCATGTCCTTTGTCCACTTTTTAATAGGGTTGTTTGATTTTTGCTGATTTTCCTGAGTTCTATATAGATTCTAGTTATCAGCCCTTTATCGAATGTGTAGCATGTGAATATTTTCTCCCATTATGTAGGTTGTCTGTTTGCTTTCATGATAGTTTCCTTGGCTGTGCAGAAGCTTTTTAATTTGACCAGGTCCCATTTATTTATTTTTTTTGTTGCTGTGATTGCCTTTGGGGTCTTCTTTACGAATTCTTTCCATAGGCCAATGTCTGTAAGAGTTTTTCCAACATTTGCTTCTAGAATTCTTTTAGTTTCATGCCTTAGATTTAAGTCTGTTATCCACCATGAGTTGATTTTTGTGAGAGGGGTGGATCATGTTTCAGTCTTTTACATGTGGCTATCCAATTTTCCCAGGACTATTTATTCAATAAAGATTCTTTTCCCCAGTGTATGTTTTTGTCTGCTTTGTCAAAGGTTAGATGGCTATATGAGGATGGTTTTATATCTGGGTTCTCAGTTCTGTTCCATTGGTCTATGTCTCTGTTCTTGTGCTAGTACCATGCTGTTTTAGTTACTATAGCCTGTAGTATAGCTTGAAGTCTGGTAAATTGATGCTTCCCAATTTGTTCTTTTTGCTTAAGCTTGCTTTTGCTATACGGGCTCTTCTCTGGTTCCATATGAGGCATTGAATTATTTTTTCTAGATCTGCAAAAAATGATGTTGGTATTTTAATAGGGATTGCATTGAATCTGTAGATCACTTTGAGTAGTAAAGACATTTTAACAATATTGATCCTGCCGACCCATGAGCATGGTGTGGTTTTCCACCTGTTTATGTCCTCTGCTATTTCCTTTCTCAGTGTTTCATAATTCTTCCTGTAGAGGTCTTTCACCTTCTTAGCTAAATATATTCCTAGGTATTTTATTTTCTTTGTTGCTATTGTGAAGGGTATTGAGTCTTTGATTTGGTTCTCAGCCTGACTGTTGTTGGCGTATAGGAATGCTACTGATTTCTGTACATTGATTTTGTAACCTGAGACTTACAGATCTATTTGCTTTCCCTCATCCTAGCCTAGCCTAGCCTTTCCTTCAATCCATTCTCAGTACTATAGCCAGAAATTTTTTTTCATACAAGATCAGGTCTAAAGTTTTCCACATGTCATAAAAGATCCTTCATGATCTGGTCTCTGCCAACCTTGCCATCTTCAGCTTCTTTTCCATAAGTTCTCTGTGCCCTAAAACTAAGTGGCATGTTCTGTCACACTTTTCACGCCTTTGCGATAGTGTTCATCTTTATAGCATGCCTGAACTCTTTCTACTCCACTCTCTCCATTTTATGGTAAAATAGTCATCATTGTTGATATCTTCACATAGCACTCATCTAATTGTTCTAATTTTATTAATTTTTTTGTCTTTTCATCCTAGGTTATGAGACCCAGAAGGGCAAGAACTACCTTTGTATCTTTAGGACTTGGCCTAGTACCTAGGTTCATATTAAATTAGAATAAAGTTTCTTTATACTTTCATTTGAATGAGACCTAAGATAAGAAAGGCTATTATTAATAACTTCATTACCTAGATCAAAATTTAACTAACCAATATATAAAATAAATACATTATGCTTATCCTGGTTTAGCAATGGCTGACACTATCCATTGAATAAAGATGGGAAACTTTTTAATGTAACTTTTTAGTACGAATATATTCAGTTTTACTTAATGTAGGTAGTACTCAGTTACTAAACTGTAAAAACATTTGTGTTTTAATTCCTAAAGTGTGCTTATAAATAAAATTAAATAGCAATGACAAATATTAACAGATTTTATTGTTTATCTTTAGTTGGCAAGTCAAACAAGTATTGGATTTTTGCATTTTGATGCTGTATGCCCAACCCAAGGCCATGTATTATTTACAGGTAATAACTTGGTATAATTTAAATCAAAAGCATTATTTTCTTCCTCTTTCCTTTAATTTCTTCCTTCCTCATTGTGTTCTTCCACTTTACTTTGTACTCAGAAAATATTCATTATATTAAATTGCCAAAAAAAGCTTACAATTGATTATATATTAATCTTCTTGCTAAGTTCACAATTACAGAGGAAATTACAGTTTCCTGAAACAAACTGAAAAGAAAATCTCAAGTTACTATAAAGTTAGAAATTGAACTGCCTACATTTCTCTTCCCACAATTTTGTTAGATTAAGCAAATGTATTTTGAGCATTTATTTTATATCAGACATTGTATATGTTTATTATTGCTACCATACATTGCCTCATCCCCATGAGTAACACAGTTCTATGGTGCCTTACTGTATTTGTAAAAATAAATGAATTATATATAGCTTGTGCCCTCTAAATTCCTGCATATTGTTAAATAATAGTGTTATGCTTCCCAATAGTAAGTGTACACCTCACTACATAGGCTACATTCACTTGTGAGAAGAGTTTGCAGAATACCACTGGACAGTAGAGAGGAAGCTAACGGACTAAAGCAAGATCTTCTCTTTTATTGGAAGAAAATATATCCCTTTTGATTTCTAGTTAGTGGCAATGTAACTATTCCCAATGAGATCCAGCCAATGTACTATTCCAAATTTGAAATGCAATTGTATTCTGTGCCCTAGTAATGTGCACGAGGACTCCCACATTTTTCTAAATCATTTAGGAGGCCCTCTTAATCTGTACATTATGCATAATATATATTAAATAAAAAGAAAATTCTCACTTCCATTGTCCCCCTCTTCATGGAGGGTTTTTTCAGGCTGGCTCTAACCAGGTAGGTGTGAATAAGAGTGCCATGCTCCCTTTTGTCTTCTCTTTGCCAAGAACTACTTTGTCAGCCATGATATCTGGAAATAGAACATGGCACCTATCATCTCAGGCATAAAGCTGGTTAGTCTTTGCTATGGTCTGAATGTTTGTGTTCCTCCCAAAATTAATATGTTGAAATCCTAACCCCTGAGGTGATGGTATTTGGAGGTGGGGCCTTTGGGCAGTGATTGTATCATGAGGACTCATGTTTGGGATTGGTGCCTTTATAAAAGAGACCTCAGAGAGCTAGCTAGGCCCTTCCACCATGGGAGGATACAGGGAGAATGTGCTATCTTTGAGGAATGAACCCTCAGCAGACACAAATCTGCCTTGGTCTTGCACTTCTTAGTCTCTGGAACTGTGAGAAATAAATGTTTTTTATTTATAAAACCATCCAGTCTATGGTATTTTGTTTTAATGGCCTGATTGGACAAAGACAGTCTTAAACTAGAAACTGAAGTATTTGTGAGGATAAAAATGGATTCAGATAAAGAGAGTTTTTCAAAAAGGATTTAGATGGAATGTTACAGATTAGTATTTAGGAAAGGGACAAATTTTGGCCTGGTTAATCTCAGAATCAAAAAACAAAAATTGACTACCTATATATACTCTCAGTAGATTGAACTAAAAATAAAACTATTGGCTGGACACGGTGGCTCATGCCTGTAATCTCAGCATTTTGGGAGGCTGAAGTGGGAAGATCACTTGAGGCCAGGGGTTCAAGACCAGCCTGGGCAACATAGCGAGACCTCATCTCTACAAAAAATGAAAAAATTAGCCAGGAATGGTGGTGCACGCCTGTTTTCCCAGCTACTCAGGAGGCTGAGACAGGAGGATCATTTGAGCCCTGGAGTTTGAGCTTGTGGGCTATGATCCCACCACTGTACTCCAACCTGGGTGACAAAAAAAATAAAAAATACAAATAAAAAGTTAAAAATAATTAAATAAAATTATTACCTCATAAAAACATTTTCTTCAGTGTATTCTAAGTATTTTTTATTTTCAAGATAATATAACTTACTCAATGGAAGCACTGAATATACTAATGCCTTTTTGGGTTTTTTTTTTTCCAGCTAGAAGATGATATCATAGCTAAAAAGATGTACCTTACTAAAATAAAAGATTTTGTATATAATAGCACTTCAAATGATTGGTTTTATATTGAGTTTTCAATACTTGGATTCATAGGTAAGCAATATGTCTATTTCGTTGGATCAAACTTTTTAGTACACAATAATCCTAAAAGTTTTTAAGAGTTTATCAAAGAGTTTGTTATTAAATGGAAAGGAATGGCATGATTTTTATAAAGACACTATTATTTTAGTAGTAAAATCAGATTCAAGTATCTAAATTTTAGATAATGTATTTTTTAAATTTTTTTTCTGGATAGACAATATGAACAAGCAGATTGATATATATACACATATGTTACAGAAACATAAAAGAGCCACCACTTATTAAACGCTTGCTGTGAGTCTGGCACATGTTAGCTCAATGACTAAGATGTATTCTTCTCTAAAATACTGAAACTCAGAGAATTACAGTTGCAGGAAAAGGATTCTAACTCAGTACTCTAAAGTCCCTGAAATTTCCAGTAAACCAAAGCTGACATTCTTAAAAATATATAAAAATATGATATGAATTACAGCCACCACAGAAAAGTTCCTACAACTGTGCCCATAATGTGATTTTTTTTTTTTTTTACAATTCTTCCATAGGCTTTCCTTTTTCTTCCTTCCATTTTTCTTTCCTCATGTCCCTCCTTTTTTTCCCTTTTTTTTTCTTTCTTTTGAACCCCAAGGTTTCAAATTGAATTATCACTCTCATTTCATGGTGCATGACATTATTGATTCATACAGGAGTGCTCTCATATATTATTCTTTTATTTAGTCTATACATTATGCACAATATATTAAATTAAGAAGAATAACTATATAGTTGTCCATTCCATTAACATGGGAAAAGAGAAAAAATATTAAAATGTAAACATATCCTATTCCTTAGAAATAAATGAAGTTTAAAACACTAATGAAGTTGGAAGATGATAAAGTAAAACATCATATCTGCTTAAGTATTAAGGATTACTATTTTTGAAGGAAAAAGAGTATAAGCAGGTTTGGAATAGCCAGTAATCTCAGGAAATCAATTTTGATAACTAATAAGGATCTATTGTCTAAATCTAACCCCACTTTCTCCCACCCAATAGGTTTTCATTCTAATATGTTCAAAATATACATACAGCCATGTAAAATATTTGCTGTTTCTCCTGTTTGTTTTAAATTCACCTAAATGTTAATATGATAAGACTATTCCTGTTCCTTAAATTTTTGTCTTCAAACCTAGATTTTTAAACTCCCACCTTGTTGCTTTATGTTCATTTAGTTTATTGTTTTTTGCTGCTGCATAAGCACTACACAAGAAGTCATTTACTTATCTATTCCCTGAGTGGGAGACCTTGATTGCTTTCAACTTTCTGCTACCACAAAAAGATGAAGTGACAAATACGTCCCCAAGAGTGGATCACTGAGGACACAGACCACTGGGTCTTTAAGTACTGCCCGTTGCTGTGCAGATTGGCTGTACAATTTACGCTCTCATAAGCAGTGCATAACAGTTCTTGCTTCCTCATGTTTGACAACATTTGGTTTTAACATATATGTGTTTATATATATATAGAGAGAGAGAGAGAAAGAGAGAAGAAAGAGAGAGAGTGCCATTCTGAGAAGTGTAAAGCATCTCTCTGATTGCCAGTGAGGTCTGTCTGTTCTTTTTAAACTTACTTGATCACTTTTCTTCTCCAAATTTTCTGGAAAATTATAAGGGCCACAAGGCTTTTTGCTCAGCCTTGGTTAAATAAGAAGAAAAATGATCAGTTACAGTAATATGCAATGAGAAGCTTGGAGAGAAAATACATTCTTGTAACTCTGAGTATTTAAAATTCTCAAAGAATTTATCTTTCTCAGCAAAGTCAAGTATGAGATGCATAGAGAATATTTACATTATGATTAGCACAGGAGCACATTGAACAAAGGAGGACTATTTATGAGATGCCAAAGTCTTACTTAAGCTTAAATTTACAAAGGCTTGCTTTTTGTTATCATATAACAATATGTTATTCATTATTTATTAAAAATAGGAGCTTTTACAGCATGCTAACAGCAGATTAGGAATTGAATCAACTATTTTCATCATTGAATCACTTGCTTTGGTTACTAAATAAATGGGTGCCAGAAATTTAAATACAGTTATATATTTGATTAAGTGACCCATATAGACTCAAGTCCTAGTGAAGAATAAAGCATGCTTACGTCCTACTATCATGCTTATTAAGTGGTTAGATGTATTTTACATTACTTACATTGAAGTGAACATTTACCTGAATCTTACTCCTTCGACTTCATTTTAAAATTAAAGATGCAGCATATTAGAAAAAAATCACTGGGCCTAATGGAATTATACTTGAAAATATAGCAAATCTTTAAGAAACATAAAAGAAAAATAACCTTTTGATGAAATAATGCCCAAATATTTAAATAATGCTTAATAAAAATTGAGTACTAAAAGTGAAAATGTAGTAGATTGATAAAGTGCTTCAAAAGTCAGGTAAAAAATAACAGTTTGTACAAAATTAAGCAAGAGATTACAGCTCCCATATGTTCCATTTTATTTACTTATCTTTCGCTTGATTTAGACAATAGATCCTCATTAGTTATCAAAATTGATTTCCTGAGAGTATTGGCTATTCTAAACCTGCTTATATTCTTTTTCCTTCAGAAATAGCAATCCTTTATACTTAAACAGATGTTTTACTTTATCATTCTCCAACTTCATTAGTGCTTTAAACTTATTTTTTCTAAGGAATAGGATATATTCAAATTTTAATATTTTTCCTCTTTTCCCATGTTAATGGAATGGACAGCTATATGTGAGTTATCTGCATTTACTTGCTTTTTTTTCACAGGAAAGCTGTTTAGATCTGAGGACTTACCTGACTTTGTACGTTTTTTTTTAATGTTTTACAAAGAGAAACCCATAGACTGGCTCTTGGAATACATGTTTCAGGTAAAGATGTGTAACCCAGGAGAATCTCTTGTAAGTATTTCCTTATGAATACCAAATATTTTAGGCAAATGCTCTCTATCTAATATAATTACCTAAAATGTGTTTATAATGAACCAAATCTGATGAGTGCATCAAGTTTTCAAACTTTCAGTATTTTAAATTTTTACTGACATTTCTACCTATTAAATGAAGTAATGAGAGATAAAAAATGCAGTGAAAAGTGGAAACAGAGGAACAAAAACCCGAGTAACAAACAGGAAAAAAAATGGCAGACATAAATCCAAACATGCCTATATTTATGTTAAATATAAATGGTCAAAATATACTACTTAAGAGAGAGATCATCAGAGTGTATTTTTTTAAATGATGCAACTATTGATGTCTATACTTAGTTCAATTGGCTCTTTGCTTTAATCAGATCCATTTTACTATTTAAGAAGAAATTGAGGAGGATGCATTTCAATACTGGAATTAATTAATGAATATTGAAAGCAAAAGACAGAATAATGTAGTCTGATAGAAATGGATAGGCAGAAAAACACTAAAAATTTCATTTATTAGAATTAAAAAGAAAGCAAAGAAAAATTATAGTTCGTACAACAGTAACCTGGTTTTCTGAGACAGAGTTCATGAAAATACATGCTTTCACTAAACCCTTTTTTACCCCAACTGCTTTGCTCTATTATTCATATGAAGAAAAGGCTAAGAATTAAATGTTTGTTCAAACTTTTAAATGCTAATATACAATCCTAGTAAAAACTAATATAATAAAAATTCTGCCATCAGTAAATGCAATACAAAGGAATATTTAGATTTTTACAGAAGATTGCTGTTTTTCTTTTTCTCCAGAATGACTGTAAAGAACGACAAAAGCAAATTCGTATTCAGTATAAACCTTCTCTTTTCCAGCATGTGGGTACACATTCATCGTTACCTGGAAAAGAACAACATTACAAAGTAAGATTTTGACATGTAACTTCAGTAATATACAATGTTTCATCAACTTATTAAATACTATTCAGAAAAAGAGTGATGACATGAGACAAACTATAAAATATTGCTGTTTAAGCACAATTCATCTTATGACAGAACTATATGTTGTAAAGAATGTTTATAAATTGAGCAATCATTTTTTAAAGACCCAAGTTATCTATCATGTTAAGAAAAATCCAGCCTGCATAAACTTCTTTGCCTTCCTGCTCCTAGCTGTGCAATTCAAATAATAAGATTAAAAAATTTTTTGAAAATTATAATGAAATTTACTATTTTAGTCAAAAATTGAAAATTATACAAGAATATTTCAAAAATAAAATATTTTATTATTTAATTTAAATGTATCAAAATTTTTATTTCAGACCACTATTTGTCTTACCAGATGAAGAAAAATTCAGCATTGTTTGATTTTTAGTCATTATTAAATTTTGCATCATTTTCAGAAACAGTATAATTGATCATTGACTTCACACTTTGGTAGAGTAGAAGAAACAAAGAAGTGAGAGTCAAAGCACCTAGTTTTTAGTCCTGGGGACTCAGGGCACATACACATGACATGGGGCAAGCCCTAATAGTCCTCTGTGTTTTCTTCATCTATTAAAATCTTTGAAGATTTGTAATTAAATGATCCTTAAGGTTTCTTCTACCTTGAAGTACTACAGACATCTATACCCTTCACATCTTACACAACAAAGGAAATGGTTTTTTTAATCCTCTGTCAATTGAATAAGAAGTGCACGTATACATCCTTCCATCATTCCTAACCTGCCCCCTTTCTGCTTTTCTCCTTTATGTATTGCACTGCAGTCACTGGAACGGTGCCTAGAACATAATGTGAACTCAGTAAATGTTAGCTATTGGCTATCAGGCAAGGTGGAATGCAAGTATAAAAGTGTGTAGCAAACAAGACAAAGAAGTGCCTAGAATAATGAAAATGTAACTCTAATGAATTTTTATGCAAAAAAATCACACCATCGGAATACATAAAACATAGCTGCAGATAATACAGA